AGCTAAATCCCCAGCCCCGAGGTCTCTCACCTTTGGTAGAGGATAAAGCATCTGTCCAAACACCTGTATATGAATGTTCATAGTGATATTGGGGATATAAAATAGGACCTCCAGATAATATGAAGGAAATATAACACCCAACCTGCTAGATGTCTGATACACTGAGCTCATGTTGTTGAAAATCAAAGAATTCTAGGAACGGAGGAGGTAAAGAATAGGAAGTATTGATTGATAGAAAGCAAGCTTCTAAGAGAGACCGAAGAGAGCCCTGAGTGGGTGGCCCGCCAACCCTGCTTCTTGAGGGTGTTTTATTGAGCAAAGCCACCTGGTGAGCAGATTCAAGGTGGGACAAAACTGTAGTCAACAAGATTACAATATGGTCACTTAGGTAGTATTGGTCAAATGGAAAGTCACAAGGTGGATGTGAGGTGGGACAAGACTATGGTAACCAATAAGATTACAACAAGTATCGGTAATATTGGTTGAATGGGAATCAAGTGGGGAAGCAAGTCACGCAGCAAACTTACATGGACCCAGTGGGGATTTTCCAAGAAAAAATGGCCTAATTAGGTTTTGCCTGCCCTCCCACCAGGTGATTGTTACCAATTTAGAGTGTCTGTCACTGCTGTTCACCCTTGGGGGAAGTGCATGGGGTAGTCCTTCTTTGTTTGGAAGCCTGACCTTTCATGAATACACCTCCACCCACAGTTGTCTTCAGGACTAATCTCTGGAGGGCTCAGCCCATCTGAATGCCTATAACATTTCTAAATAACTTAGCTCTCTATAACAGTATAGCTATTAATGAGTAATATCCTTATTCCTCATAACCCCAAACCAGAAGCAGCCAAGTGTCTTACTTCTCTGGCCACTGAGACAATGCCTGATACCTGCAAAGTAAAGGAGGAGAGATTCATTTTGGTTCATGCTTATTTATATTCCATGGTCAGCTGGCCCCAGGGTGGTCCTGTATGTCATGGCACAGGGCACGGAGGAGGAGAAACTTAATCTTAAATTATGATGATGGGAAGGCAGAGAGTGAAGGATGCTGGGGGAGGAGATAAGCCCTTTAAGGCCACACCCCCAGTGATCTGCCTCTTTGAACCAGACCCCACCTCCAAGTAGCAAGTCAGTTATGTGTCCCTGTAATTCAGTCGCCTTCCAAAAGCCTCACCTATGATTACAAGGCTCTTTGTATAAAAGAGAATCTATATGTAAAAGTAATGTTCTGCGCCTCATTGCCAAAAGATTCAGGTATATCCTTTTATACAGAATGTATTAGTCCATCTCTAATAGTTGCTAGATACCTAACAATTTCAGCATTGCCTTAAAGTCCCAAGTCCAAAGTCTCCTCTGAGATTCATGACATAATCTTAGCTGGGAGCGCTTTTAAATATCAAAAAGAAGTTAAACACAGCAGATATACAATGGAACAGGGTAAATATTACCATTCCAAAAGGAAGAAATAGGGGAATAAAAAAATGACTAACGCAGGATCGCAAACCCAAGAGTACAAATATTAATCCTATCGGTCTATGTCTAGCACCACTAAAATGTGAACTCCCAAGGACTTGGACAGCCCTACTGCTGTGACCTTGCCAGTGGTTATAGCCTCTGTGGCTTCTCTTTTGTACTGGATTTGCTCACTCTTTGTAACTTTGCTCAAATGTTCCATGTTTTGGGCTTCTCCAACTTCCTGAGGTATCCACTGTACATTTTTTTTTTTACCTTTTCAGACAGAGTCTCTCTGTGCAGTTCAGGTTGGCCTTGAGCTCACTTTGTAGCCCAGGCTGGTTTTGAACTTGCAATGATCCTCCTGCCTCAGCCTCCCAAGTGCTGGGATTACAGGCATGTGCCACCATACTTGGCTCCACTGTACTTTTGGCTTCACACACAGCTTCTGCCTCTCGGGCACACTGAATTGCCTTCCAGGCCTTCTAAAATCTGGGTGGAAGCATTCCTGATTTACAGCTCTTGCACTCTCTCTACCTGTAAAATCATCACATGGACGATGCAAAGGTCTGCTGCCAGCTCAGTCAGTAGCTGGGCTTTCTTGAATTATGGATGACTTGAATCTTGGATGACTGAGTGGCAGTGAGTGGGACCCCAGGGAATTGAACAAATTCTCTAGGCAGCCACTGTTAAGGAGGACCATGCCCTGGGGCTCTCTTCGTAAATCAAGTCTTTCTTTTGCAAGTTTGAACCTGTGAAGAAGGGCAGGGCCTTGATGGTTCCTCACATACCCTCAAGGCATCTTTCCTATTGTTATGATCCAAAGTATCTAGCTTCTTTTTAATGCTAATCTTTTCAGCATCCTAGGTCTGCCCTGCTTGTTTGTAGGTGCTTTCCTTCTGGCAAAACTGAAAGCTTCTAAAATGGTCTTTTTCTCCTGATTTTTAGTATAAACCTAGGTAAAAGCCATCCCAGGTCAAGTGTGGTGGCACAAACACCTGTAATTAAAAAAAAAAACAAAAAACCACAACACAGAAAAATACCTGTAATCCCACCACCTGGGAGGCTGAGGCAGGAGGATTACCAGAAATTTGAGGCCAATCTGAGCTACATAATGGTTCAAGACCAGCCTGAACTGCATAGAGAGATCTTGTCTCAGAAAGCCCTCATAGTATTCATGCCATGATCAGAATGTTGGGCTACTGTGAAATATCCTCTGCCAGATTAAACTAATCCACTGCCCTGAATCTCAGTCTCCTGGGAAGTTCTGGGACATGAGCAAAATGTAGATACATTTTCACATGGTTTGGAATCTAGCTATCAGTAGTATCCTTATTTCCATCAGAAACCTCCTATGCCTGGTCTTTACCATCTGCATTTCTATCAGCATTCCGGTCTTCTGAGCTCTGATGACAATTTCCCATCAAGCTTCACTTACAGCATTCTAGGGCTTTTCTAGCCAGCATTTCTGAGTGTTTCCAAACTCCCCTTGCAAGCCCATTCCAAGTTGTGTGTGTGTGTTTTATGGAAAAGAACGGTTTCTATAGTAAGTCTAAACCACATGATTAGTTAGCCGAACAATAGTCCCACTCCTGGTACCAAAATATGTCTTAGTCTTTTTGCTCATCTCTGAAACAATGCCTGATGCTTGCATAGTAAAGGAGGAGAGGTTTATTTTGGCTCGTGTTTGTAGTACACAACCAATTGGCTCCAAAATAGGACAGCATGGCAGAGGGACACAGCAGAGGAGAATCTCTGTTCAGGTGGACTTTGGGGAGCAGGGAGTGAAGGGAGGAGCTGGGGGGAGATAGTGGGCCACGTTCCCAGTGACCTGCTGCTTCAACCAATCACTCTTCAAACAGCAAGTTTGCTGTAAGCTTCTATAATCCAAAAAAGGTGCCCCCGCCATAAGTACATGAGAGCCTCCCAAAAGCCCCGCCTATGAGCACGTAAGGTTCTTCAGGAGCATCTCCTTATAAACCATACCATCAAATGTTTATTAGCTTATGAAGGCTAAATTGTATTGTGTCCATAAATGGGATGCTGCTTAGCAGGAAAAGGGAACTGTATATGCTGAATAGCAGGGGTAAATCTCAGAACTATGCTAGGTGAGAGAAAGTGGCCATAAAATAATTATAGCCATCCGTGTAAAAGTCTAGAGAAAGCAAAGGAATGTAAATATGCAAGAGTTAAGAGGTGGGGAAAAATGCACGAAGGAACATTTACCAAAATTAATTTCATTGGGCATATAAAGTAGGAAAGTGACATTGCTCAGGGAACACACAACTGTGGGACACAGACAAAGCAATCATAGGAGGGAGAAATTCAGTAAAGTTAGGTTGACCAACAGCTCATGTATTCAGACCTCACTAATTTATGAATTTGCTGTCTCATCATTCAAGATGGAGATGTTTTACAGTTGAGCATTTGAATAAACAAAATCCTTTCTTTAAGGTCCAAGTGCCTTGTGTCTAATTTTCCCTTTATCTGAAGTGAATTCTTTGTTTATTTATACTTTTGTGGTGCTGAAAATGAACTCAGGGCTTTACACAGGCTGAGAAAATACTCTCACTAGGCTACACCCCAGCCCGAGTGAATTCCTCTCTCTTTTTTTCTTCCAAATTCATTTTATTTTAAAGAGAAAGAGGAAAAAAACCCAAAAAATTTCAAAAAATGTCCATCAGGGTACATTCATTGCACATTGTCATCCCCAAATCATTCCCCCAGTGCACAACACATCTGCAGTCAATTTTCCAAACAATACCAGCACAAACCTTTCTCTTCAGTGAACTCGAAGAGAAGTCAGTAGTATAACTATCTTAACTAGCCTTTATGCACTGTGACACACACATATACACATGTTGTTTCAGCTTCTCACACTTGAGACAATACGATCGTTACATGTGTCTTTATTTCACTAATGAGTATGGTCTCAAGTTGCATCTGTTTACCTATAAAAGTCTCCAATTTATCCTTTTTCTTTTTTTGTCTTTTTCCTTTTTATCGGTACCAGGGATCGAACTCATGACTGCGTGCTTGCAAGGCAGGCGCTTATGCCGCTGAGCTAAATCCCCAGGCCCTCCAATTTATCCTTTTAAAACATTTTTATTTTATTTTTGTTTGTTTGGTACTGGGGATTGAACTCATGACCTCGCACTTGTCAGGCAGATGCTTGTGCCACTGAGCTAAATCCCTGGCCCAAAGTTTTTTAATTTAAAAAAAAAAAAAAAAAAAAAGATACAGAATTTCAAAAAAAATTAGGAAATTAACACTACTAATATATTGCATATTGTTATCTTAGAAATAGTTGTTCAGGGGGCTGGGGATTTAGCTCAGCGGCATAAGCGCCTGCCTTGCAAGCAGGCAGTCGTGAGTTCGATCCCTGGTACCGATAAAAACGAAAAAGACAAAAAAAAAAAAAAAAAAAAAAAAAAAAGAAATAGTTGTTCAGGTTACAAGATTTAGGCATGAAAAAAATGACCAAACTATCAAAAGCACAAACTGTTCTTTTTGATGAACTAACAGATAAATAGTATAGTTATCTATCCTGTAAAAATGTGGAATGCTTCACGAATTTGTTTATCCTTATGTAGGAGCCAAGCTTATCTTCTCTCCATCATTCCAATTTTAGTATATGTGCTGCCAAAGTAAGAACTAGTTCATCCTCCTTTATGACTGACTAGTACTCCATTGTATAAAAATGCCACATCTTTTTTATCCATCAGTTGATGGGCATTTAAGTTGCTTCCAAGATCTGGCTATTACACATTGTACTGCTATAAACATGGGTGCACATGTATCACCATGGTATGATGTTTTTAATTCTTTTTTTTGTCTTTTTCATTTTTATCGGTGCCGGGGATCGAACTCACGACCGCCTGCGTGCAAGGCAGGTGCTTACGCCGCTGAGCTAAATCCCTAGCCCCGATGTTTTTAATTCTTTTGGGAAGATATCTATGCTGGGTTGAATGGGACCTCTAGTTCTAGTTTTTTGAGTAATCTTCACACTGATTTCCACAGTGGAAATTCCAGTCAACAGTGGAGAAGGGTTCCTTTTTCCCCACAGCCTCTCCAGCATATTGCTTGATTTCTTGATGATAGCCATTCTTTTTGGGGTGAAGTGGAAATCTCAGTGTTTTAATTTGCATCTCTCAAATGACCAGTGGTATTGAACATTTATTTACATATTTCTTTGCTGTTTGTATTTCTTCTTCTGAGAAGTGTGTATTCATCTCCAATGCCCATTTTTTGATTGGATTTTTAAATCTGGAAGGACTAATTTTTTTTTTTTTTTATGTTCTTGTTCTTTGTTCTTGATAGTAGTAATTTGTCTGAGGTATGGCTTGCAAACATTTTCTCACACTTTGTGGGTTGTCTCTTCACTCTGTTGGTGGTTTCTCTTGCTGGGAAAAAGGTTTTTAGTAGGTTGGGATCCCAGTTGTTGATTCTTTGTGAAAGTTCCTGTGCAGTCGGGGTTTTGTTTATCGTCTTTGCCTATACGAGGGTCTTCAAGAATTTAACCTACTCTATCTTCCAGCACATGTAATGTTTCTATTTTAATGCTAAGATCTTTGATCCATTCTGATTTTAGCTTAGTACATGGTGAAAGATATGGGTCCAGTTTTAATGTTCAGCATGTGTAGAGCCAGTTTTTCCAGGACCATTTATTAAAGAGGCTGTCTTTTTTCCACTGAATGTGTTTGGCACCTTTGTTATAGATAAAGTGTGTCTAGAGTTTCTGATCTTCTAATCTGTTCTATTGATCTTTGGGTCTTTTTTTTTTTTTTTTTTTTTTTGCCAGTACTCACACTGTTTCTATCATAGTAGCTTTTTTTTTTTTAATCAGTACCAGGGATCAAACTTACAACTGCCTGCTTGCAAGGCAGGTACTTATGCTGCTGAGCTAAATCCCCAGCCCTGCGCTAAATCCCTAGCCCCATGGTAGCTTTATAGTATATTTTCAAGTCAGAGATTGTGATGCTCCCTGTTCTGTCTTTGTTACCCAGGATTACCTTTGCCTTCTGGTTCTAGATGAATTTTAAGATTGTTTTCTGTAATTCTGTGAGATTTGCTATTGGAATCTCTTTCTTATATTCATTTGTTTTTATTTTTTCCTTTTGTGTACTGAGGACTGCACCCATGGCCTTGACTGAGCTACAGTCCAGTGTACCCCTCACACCGTCCCCCAGGCCAAGAGATTTTTTTTCTTTGAGACAGGGTCTCACTTACAGCAGTCCTCCTGCCTGCCTCACCCTCCCAGGTGCTGGAGTTACAGGCCTGTGCCACCAGACCCAACTCCCACCCCTCCCTTTTTTTTTTAAGACAAAGTTTCTGAGTTGTACAGGCTGACATTAAATTTATGATCCTCTTGCCTCCCAGAGTGTTAGTATTACAGATTCAGGTCAACATTCTCAGTGTGAATTTTATTCTTAAAGGCAGATTTAGGTTTGACTTTGTTTTTCTTTGTCAAAGGAAGAAACACTTATATTCTGTTTCTATAGGACTTTGTCCTTAGAACGGGGGAGGGGGAGCTACTAGAAAGTTTTGGCTAGGGAGTGTTGACGTGGGACACTAGAGCTGCGCTATGGAGGTGGGGGAACTAGGAAAGGCAGGTCAGAGGCCCTTGAAGTTCTTGGAGCTGTGTGCCTAATCTTTTTGTTTAAGACAAGGTCTTGCTGTGTAGATCAGACTGGCCTTGAATTCATGGCACGCCTCCTGTCTCAGCCTCTGGACAGAGTGCTGGAATTACTGGTGAACACTACCATGCCCAGCTATGGATGTGTTTTTTAATGCATAACTTCAGTTTTGAAGAATGGCGATCATACTATGCCACATAATCTCTTAACGTTTAAAGCACTTCTCTGCCATAGTGGGAACCATGGGACAAGTCCGGGTGCTTGGGTAGGATTCTGGCCGTAGATCCAACTGTGTCGATGTTTGGAAAGAGCTGGGGAAAGGCACTGGGGGCAGAGGGATAGGATGGGGAAGTCCAGGCGTGTCTGAAGAGTGAAGGTGAGAATTTCAGGTTGGGGTGCAGGAGCCCTTGCTGAGTGAAGCTCTGGGGTTCAGCTGGGAAGGCAGGCCAAGGAGCAGCTGCTGTCCTCAAGGCTTCTGGCCTAATGGGGGCAGCAGTGCAGGCACAGGGATGAGGCCAGGGAAAGAAGTGGCCCTTCTTCTTTCCCTGGCTGCACACTTTCCTCTCCCAGACCTTTATGCCCCAGTGCTGGGTGCGACCCTCCCAGAGTCTGAACGTAGTTCTGCTGTTCCTGGCAACGTGATCCTGAACAGATTGCTTTACCTGCTTGAGCCTCAGTTTCTGTAAAGCAGGAATAATAGATAAGATCTTCTTTGGTGGCTAAAGTAGGGGTAATAGGTAATATCGTATTTGATGGCACAGGGCTCATTTGCTCTGTTGTCTAAGAAATGGTTTCTGCTATTTCCTTGCTGCTTTATGTCACACCGTGGATGGAAGACTGTGGTACATAGTGTGGCCCCTGGGCATCCTGGCCTGAAAAATCCCTTAATGTGAGCTTTTAAGGGCTGCTTGGGCCGGGGACTGCTGGTGTCTTGGGGTAGTGGACTAGCGTCTTCCACCTAGAGGGACCTTATAGATCCTGAAGGAGCAGCTGTAGTCTGGAATTCCAAGTTCTTGGTTCCCCCACACCTCATTCACTAGGTGACCTTGGGTGACTCCTAGTGGCAAAGTGTAACAACATCCAAGCAAAGATGGGGTTTGCAGTTTGACATTGTACTTTGTACAGGTACTAGGCAGAAACTTGTTCAGCATGTTTTTCATTGTAGTTTGTTCTTTAACTGCTTCTATTTCCTTGGACACAATCTTGACTCTTGGTCCTAATTGTGTATGTTGGAGGCAGCTTAATTTATCAGCGGATGCAGCAGGCTTTGTTCCTTATATGTAATGCTACCATATTCGCTGATGACATCTTTTTTTTGTTGTTGTTGTTGTTACCAAGGATCAAACTCATGACCTCGTGCTTGCTGGGCAGTTGCTTTGCTACTGAGCTACATCCCTGGCCACGGATGTCATCTTTAACTTTGGGAATTTTGTTTTCAGAGCTTGTGATTTACAGTTGGGATTCTCTAAACTGAATTTACATAACCAAAATGTTTTTTTCCTAAAAACCATTTTAGGGTCACATTCTGAGAGTGTGTGTGTGTTTGCTATATCGGGGACTGGATCCAGGAACTTCACACTGAGCTACTTCAATTTCTTAAAGTTTACCAAAGTTGGGATCCTCCTCTCAACCTGCCATAGCGCTGTACTACCCGTGCAGCCATGCCCTGCTTCTCTACGCATGTTCCAAAATCCACTTTGTGTAATAACTACTGAAGTGGTACTTTCTATGTACCAGGAACTGCTATATGTATTGTAGTCATTTAATGCTGATAACAACCCTGTGTGACAACCCTGGATGTCATGTCTCTGCTCCACATGTTTGTGGTGTGTGTGTTTGAGATAGGGTCTCACTATGTAGTCCAGGCTGGCCTTGAACTAGCTCATGTAGCCCAGGCTGACCTCAAACTCACAGCGATCCTCCTGCCCAGACTCTGAGTGCTGGGATTACAAGTGTGCACCTCCATACCTGGATATTCTCCCCATTTTAATAGATGATAATCCGAGTCTCAGATTCAAAGACTTGCTGTTTGGACCGGGGTGTGAGTCTGTAGTAGAGCTCTACCATGTACTTTTGGGTCATATTAAAAGATGTGTTCATTTTGTTTAGAAGGATATAAAAGTGATGTGTGTTGTGGCTGTTAGATGTATTTTATGTTGGATGTGCTTTACTGGTTAGCTGAAATATTTGCATATGACAGATAGCTCTCTGTTACCTACCTGTTTCACCATATCTGTGAAATAAAAGTTGATCTGATTAGAAGTTATCACTGATATGGGATTGAGACTACAGTGGGAAAAATAGTAGCAGAAAATGTAATTATATACATGTTATTTTTCAGTAAGACAGTGATTTAAGAGTAAGGTATCTGGGGGGCTGGGGATTTAGCTCAGTGGCACATGCGCCTGCCTTGCAAGTATGTGGTTGTGAGTTCGATCCCTGGTACCGATAGAAAAAGACAAAAAAGGAAAAAGTAAGGTATCTCAGTCTTGCATGGTGGTGTACAACTCTAATTCTGGATCCTGAGAAAGCTGAGGCAGGAGAATTGTAACTTTAAGGCCAGACTGAGCAGTTTAGTCCCTGTTTCAAAATAAAAAGATGAAAAGGACTGAGGAGATGGAAAATTTTTATCTAAGTTTAATACTCAGTACCAAAAAAAGAAAAAAAAATGAATGAAGCATTTGGTTGCAGCAAAACGTGCAAGAACCCCACTGGACTGAATACAGAAAAGTGGAAAAGGTTGCTTTGATTTACAAGACCTACAATGAATCTGGGGGGAGGGAACAGTTGAAATGCATTTGAGTTTCAGCAAAGTTTCTTTAGTTTCCATGAGTTACTCATTAAAAAAAAAGTTTTGAATATTTACTGCCAAATGTAACGTTAATGCAAGGCTAGAATTTGTTTTTCCTCTGTTAGCATAACAAGTTGATCTTGGAGTAATTTCATTATTACCATGGCATCCATAAGACCTTTCTACTTCCAAAGAAAGCCATCCTATTCTTCTCAGAAGTTGGTATGGTAATTTGTGAACCTTTGCTCTTCTGTGTGTATGTTTATGGGTTTTTTTGGTTTTGGTAATACTTTCCCTGGGCTGCATCTTCAACCGAGCCTAGTCTTGAATCTGCAATCCTCCTGCCTCGGCCTCCTGGGATTATGGGTGTGTGCCACTGTGCCCAGCAATATTTGAGTTTTTGAAAAGTACTTGCAGGAATATTTGGTATTATAGTGAGTTTATTCTGTAGGTACAACGTTGAGCTGCTCTCTGTTCATGAATATGATACATATCTTTATTAATGTGTTCACTTTGTCCTTAAAGAGAGTCTGTGGCTTTTTTTCTTTTGTTATATTTGGTCCTGGAGATTGAACCAAGGGCCATGTGCATGCTGAGCCCACATTCTACCACCAAACTATACCCCTGGCTTCAACAGTCTTATCTCTATTTTAAAATTTTTATTTTTTTGAGGCAATGTCACAGTGTAGCTCATACTGGTCTCCCACTGTCCCCTACCAGGGTCTTCTAAATGCTGAGATTGCAGGTGTGCACACGGCCTCAGCTCTTTAATGTTTTTATTTGATTATTGTTATGTAAAGATAGTTTTTCTGGAAAGCTTTCCTAGGTTTGTGTCATTTTCTTTCGGCACTAAAAAAAAAACTTTTTTGGATTCTGTTGTTACCACAGAGAGGTCAGCTTTTATTCAGATAGTTTGTTTCGAGATCTACTGTTTGTAAGATTCATTTTGTATCTTGGAGTTCTGAAGGGTTACTGAGATGAGTCTGTGTGTGGATTTTCTTAATTATCTGGCTCTGAGATTCGGTGTGTTGGATGGGATGACCTTGCTTCAGCAGCAGCACATATACCAAATACTCTGGGAGGCTGAAGCAGGAGGATTGCCATTTTACCATGAATTTGGGACCAGCCTGGACCACCCAAAGTCCTTGTTTAAAAAAAAAAAAATCAGAGCTAAGTACAATAATTAAAACTATAAAACTCTTAGGGAAAAATAAGAAAATTTCAAAATTTTATACTGATACTGAGCACTCTAAAAATGTTTTCTGCCAGTCTTGGTGGTGCATGCCTGTAAGTCTAGCAGTCAGTAGGCTGAGGCAGGAAGATGCTGCAAGTTCAAGGCCAGCCTGAACTATATAGCAAGACTCTGTCTCACAAAAAAAAAAAAAAAAAAAAAAAGTTGCTGAGCTCTTATAATGTGCATAAGTGTTTGCATGTCCCACCATGTTATTTTCCCATTTTTTTTCCCTGCTAAATTGTCTTTTTCTTATTGAATTGTTGAAGTTTTGTATACATTAGTGTCATTTAACAGGTTTTTTTCTTGTATGTTCTTTTCCCTGTTCGCATTTGGCTTTAACTTTGCTTATGGTTTCTTGAGCCCTACAGGAAATATTTAGACTTCATGTATTTAAATCTGTCATTCTTTTCCTTTGTTACTTCTGGGTTTGTACCAGACTTGGAAAGTTCTGCGGTGCCTCATTGTTACCTCTCAAACCTGAGATGAGCCTATTAGCATCTTTTAAATTTTCTCGTCTTCTGAAAAGCTGCTAAGATGTTAATCCACTGGCTCATGGCACAAGCAGCTGCCTCCTTCCCCAGCTCTGAGTTCCAGTGTGCTTTTGCTCTAGTCCTTGTACCCAAGGCCTCACTGTCCCACAGGATCCCTGGCTTCTGTGCTACCAGTTACAAATGGCAACTTTCCCTCCTCTGCTCCAGGCCTTTCAGCCCAGGCTGGCTCAGACCTGAGGCTGGATTGCTTCTATCTTCTCCCATCATCCTGGGACGTGGGTGGATGGATGGATGCCAAGGACTTGGATGCTGGGGGAGGTTTGTCTGTAACGCCCCTGTCATCTTCCTGGTCGGCCTGAGGTACAACAGTAGTTCTGCCATGGGGACTGAGTCTGGTGCTATGGTCACTCAGTACGCCCTCACCCTGCTGGGACAAGTGGCCAGGCTGGGCCCTGCAGGCAGGGATGTAGCTGGGGCTGAGTCTGGGCCTAGACTAAGTGAGCATGATTTGGACCCTGACGGGTTGGCCTGGGGAAACAGGGACTTTGGGTCTGTTTGGAAGGAGAAGAGTTGCACACGGCCCAGCCAGGGCCTGGGGTCCTCTTGCTGTTTAGCACTCTCTGGGCATGGTCTTGGGCCGTGGCCTTGTGCTGTGGCTTCTTGCTTTAAGTGACCCCTATACAAGTCAGCAGGACCATGCTGGGTCCAGCAGCTGCTCCAACTTTGCCAGGGTCAGCTGCGACCTTTATAACCCTTCTTTGCCACAGACCTTCTGTGAGAGCTCAGGCAGTCCTGCCTCTCTTCTGTCCAACCAGTACTGCTGCCCTCACGCTCCCTGCAGGGTCGTCCATGTCTCCACCCTTCAGACATGGCAGAAGTGCCTGCCGTGCATTTAGACAGGTGTGGAAGGCTATGGCCTGGTTCACATCCACCTTTCCCACTGTCACTGCCCAGAGCTGATGGATGAGGGAGACAGCTAGAGCTGGTGACCAGTCACTCTGGGCTCCACCTCAAGCTGTGCAGTACCTGTGTCTCATCACTGTTCTAAGGCCTCCCTTGTTCCGGGGACCACCTGGCTTTCCCAGAGCAGTGATGTGATCTAGAGAGCTGACCCTGACCCCTGCTCCCAGAGGCCCAGCCTCTCTTCTGGCCTGGCTGTTGGCTCCTCACTCTGCCCTCCCCCTCCCCGGATATCCCTGAGCTTCAGGGCCCATATGAAATGAGGATGCTTTGGGCCAGGACGTGGGTGATCAGGGCAGCCACTGGGGTGGGAGGCAGGTATTTGGAGTCCAGGGTCCCTGATTTCATCCCAATCACAGACACAGAGCCGAGGCAGTGCTCAGTTTTCTATTGGAGACTTCACCTTCCAGGGGGCACACATCCTTCTTTGTGCAGCCTTCCGAGCTCACCCCCTGCGTAGTGTGGTTTGCTGTGCTCTGGAGTCTGCTGCCCTAGCCCTAGCAGGGCGTGAGTGCAGTGTCTGTGTGAGGATGCAGGTGGAATGGTATGTGACACCAGGGAACAGGGCCCCTTCCTCCTGGGACCAGTGGTTATCCTAGCAGTGGGCAGGCCATGGCCAATGGCTGAACTCTCTCGAGGGACCTTTTCCTGTGCCTCCTGGGCCTGTCCTCTGGCTTCTCTCCCCGGACAGTGGTCTTTGCTGTAGGGCTCAGGGATATCCTTGGGTCTGTGTCAGGGTGGAGCACCTGCCTCAGGCCACTTGTGTGCCCCTCTCCTGGCCCTGTGCTCCCTGGGCCCATTTCCTCCCGTGGGAACCCTCGGGGTCTTGTGGGCAGGGAGCTGGCAGACATAAGTGTGTGGGGAGCAGTGATAGGGTGGGGCTGGCACTGGGAGGGTGCGGGAGCCTAGTCATCTTTATCCTTGGCGCCATGTTTGAGGATTCGGGTAAACTCCACGTAGTTGAAGTTGCCTTTCTTGTCGATGGGTGCCTCCCGGTACATCTCATCCACTTCCTCATCTGTGAAGCGGTCGCCCATGGTAGTGAGCAGCTCCCGTAGGTGGTCCTCATGGATAAAGCCTGGGGGTAGGGTGGGGGGGACCTTGAGAGCAGGGACTCAGGCTGGACACACCGAGTACCCCCACCCCTCAGCCCTGCTGTCCCTTGGAGATCTCATGGCTGGAGATGGGGCCAGGAAGCCACCTCCCTGGGCTCTGGTGAGATGGACTGAGGGCACAGGTAGGAGGGGTCATGGAGGGTCTCAGAGGGGAGCTGAGTGGAGGGCCTGTCTGCAGGGTGTTTCTCTGGGAGTGTGGGCTGTGGGCGCAGCTGAGCTGTGTAGTCCCACTTCGAGCTGGTGTGGGTGAGTTGGAACCTTGATCTCCATTTTTCTTTGTTTATGGCCTTAGACAAGTACTTTACCTCTCTGGGCTTACTTGATCTGGAAAATGAGGATGAAGACCATGGTGGGGGGCTGTCTGTAGTAGGAAAATGTTCTGAACGTGGTGGGCCCAGGGCGCAGCCTCAGTTAGTTGCCCTTGTTATTCTGCCTGTCTCTGGGAAAAACTCAGGGTGAGAGAGGAGGGTGATCCAGGGGTGGGGGTGGGTTTTGAACCTTGTTGGCAATACAGGCATGAAGTGGTTTTGTTTCCAGAAAGCTCTAAAACAGAGGGAGTGTGTGTTGGGCCAGCAGGTGAGCAGAGGAAGTAGGAGGCTGAGGATGTGGGCCATTTTGTGTTACCATTTTGAGGGGAGAACATAAAGCTGCTGGGCTTTGATAGCTGGCAGCAGAACTGGGAGCTGGTGACGTGTTGTGTTTGGCCTCTAGACAGGGGCCCCTTTTATGTGTCCCCAGCTGGTCTACCTGTATGTGCCAATGTGGTGCCCACCCCTGCCTGCCTTGCTGACCTGAGGCCTCCTCGTCGAAGCAGGCAAAGGCATTGCGGATCACGTCCTCAGGGTCTGTGCCATTCAGCTTCTCCCCAAACATGGTGAGGAACATGGTGAAGTTGATAGGCCCTGGGGCCTCGCTCATCATGCCTTCCAGGTACTCATCCGTGGGGTTCTTCCCTGTGGTGGCACACGGGGCATTGGTCCCTGCTGTCCCTGGTCTGGGTGATCCTGACCCCCCAGACTCTCCCGATGGTGAGTTCTGGGAAGCGTGGTTCCGGGCAGTGGCTCCCACGCTCCCAGCCCTGTCCTGGCTGCTGTTGGCATAGCAGGGGGTAGCTGCCGTGCCTGCTGACTGTTGCCCCAGGTGTCCTACTGCATTGCACTGTCACCACCCTGTGAAGGAAGCATTATACCCTACTTTACAGCTATGCAACTGAGGCACGAGGCGAGGCAGCTTTCCAAGGTCAAAGAGCAGTTAAGCAGCAGAGCTGACCCCAGAACTCAGGCAGCCTGACTCCACATTTTCCAGATGCAGTTTCTAAAGTGGTTCAGTCAGTGAGCTTTGGTGGCACACAGGCCTAGGTTTGAGTCCCAGCTCTGTGCCTCTGTTTGCTGTGTGTCTCAGGAGAATTGTGAAGATGAACGAGACAGTTTTTGCAACATGCTCCTAACAACCATTAGCACCGTTCTTGGACTCTGGAATCAACTGCTGCCTCCTATGCCGCTCTGCCATTTAGGAGACCTTGGATAGATTACTTAACCTTAACTTATAAATAAGTTTCCTTATTTATAAACTGGGAATGTTAGTCATATCCCCAAGAGGATTGTTTTAACCATCAAGATAATTCCTATAGAGCTTATTAATTACTTGTATTATTGGTTTTTCTTTAACGTGGGGATGGTATGTTGTTTTGTTTTAAACTCATTATATAGCCCAGGCTGGCCTTGAACTGACAGTGGTCCTCTTGCCTTTCTCTCTGGAATGCTGGGATTCTGGGCATGTACCACCATGTCTGGTGAGAACTATGTTCTTAACTGGAAGACTGTGGGTCCAGTGACCTGGGCTACGTGGTCACATCTTTCTGGGTACATATGTGAGACTGTTCAGGTCTCAAGTGTGAGGCCTGGGTGCAAGGTGCTGCCTTGCAAATGGATAGGAGCCTTCATGTTGCTGTGTTCCAGTGGTATGGGCAGGGAAGCTAAAGCCTGGAACAGCTAGGACCTCATCAAGATGGGGTGGAGAGCAATTAGGACCAGCCCTCTCGTGGCCTTAGTCCTCTCCTATTAAGCTGGAGGACCCCAAAGGAGAGCTCTGCTAGGAGACCACTTCTTGCTGGGCAACTTCCTGGAAGAAGGAAGGCCATGGGTGAACCTGGCCTGAAGCCAGGAGGTCAGCACCAAGTGCGGGCATTGTTGCTCAAAGTTGTCTGCAAACACCCATTGCCCAAGGAGCAATAGGCAGGGGCAGAGTGTGAGCTGATCCTGGGCTGTCTGGCCTAATGCTGGTGGCTTGGGCATTGCATGACTCCTCTGATGCTGACCCTTTGTCTCTACCAGGGTCTGGTCCAGGTGCTATCAGCCAGATGAAGTCTGTGCCAGGAACTGGGGCCAAGGGTGGCTGTAGCTGGAACATGGGAAGGAATGTGAGTGTGGTCTTTGGAGGCCCAGGCCTCATTCTGCCTATTTGAATAGCAGCAAGCTGGACTTAACTCCTGAGCCCTCCTTGGGTCAAAGAGGAGGTGCACTGGCCTTCCTTCAGGTATCTGTTTCATTATCTCTACAGTGCAACCCCTGCAGTTGAAATTTTCATTTAGCTGCTAACCCCTTTCTCTAAGTGAACTGTCACTGTTGAAATGGACGGAGTGAGGCAGTTGCTCCCTAGGTGTAAACTGCAGGTCTCCCTGCACAGGAAGTATTTTGCCAGAAATGAGCCCTACTCACCCAGTGAGGCCAGCATATCATGCAGATCCTCCTTGTCAATGAAGCCATCACGGTTCTGGTCAATCATGTTGAAGGCCTCCTTGAACTCCTGGATCTGGGACTGGTCAAACATTGCAAAAACATTGGATGTAGCTCGCTGTGGCCGCTTCTTAGTGGTCTTGGCCTTGGCTCGCTTGCTGGACATCTTGGCTTCAGGTGGGTGGGGCTGCCCTGCAAGAATGGGGTTGGGGGATGACTCTGAGCCAGGGGATCTTCCTGTCTCCCCCGGGGGTGGCTCTCACTCTAGGCCTGGCATTCAGGGCTGCCCACGCGCGTGGGCTTCTTCCACCCAGTTCTTCCCCAAAGTAGACAGGTAGGCCTGGGCTCAGGACTTTCAAATTTCCCTAACCTCTCGCAGCCTGGGTGCCCTCATATGGGAGTGGGGGGACGTGAATGCCCAGCAGCAGTGATTAACACTTAGTTTCTGAAGAGCACTGGAATGGTGCCAGGCATGGAATAAGCTGTTTTTGCTTTGACTGGGTAAAACCCTTGAAGAGTTGGGCTTGGTACCAACTGTTAACATGCTGTATTCTGTTAATCCCTAATAGCATTTACACTGCCCATCTTCCTGTCCAAGTGACAGGGTGGGGTGATGAGGAGGCAGCAAGGGCTCTGGCTGGGCTGCCTTCCAGGCACCCTGCATTCCTGACATTCCTCTTCCTCCTTCCAGGCCTTTTGGTCTCCATCTTTCTGCCAAGGCTCTAAGGCTCTGGGCAGCTACACCTGCTTCCCAGCTCCCTCGAAGCCTCCATTCCCTGTGCATAGCCAAGGATAAGGCTGCCAGACTAGGAACCCCAGATTTTTGTCACATCCGTGCAAGGCCCCGCCTCTTTTTAAGCCTCCAGCCAGCTTTTTTTTTATCCTATTTGGATACAGACCTGCTCTTGTCACTTGGCCACAAGTCAGGTCCATCAGCCTGGCCTGTCTAAGCCCTTCTGTGTTCCTCTGTGACCTCTCTGCTGCCATCTGCTGACCCAGCCACTCCCACCCCCACTTCCTACAAGCACTTCCCTGTCCAGCCCAGGCCTTGAGTCTCCCCTGCCTTGCTGTTCTCCCCAGCATCGTTTTCCTCCCCTGCAAGTGGGGGTGGGTGGGGGTGGGTGGTGGGTGGGGGCGTGGGGGGGGTGCGTGCTGTGGAAGCTGTTAAAGAACCAACTGTGAGGTCAGCTGCCTTATTGCAGAGATGGGGAAACAGGCCAGAGGAGGGATGTAGAGATGGGGAAACAGGCCAGAGGAGGGATGGAGAGATGGGGAAACAGGCCAGACGAGGGACTCTTTCCCTGTCCCTTTGCTAGTCTGTGAGGTTTAAGTGCCTGAAGACCTACTGCCTGCTTTCTCTTGGCTGGTGAAGGCCCCAGGATGCCTGGCCCCTTCTTTCCTTTGCACAATTCCTTCAGTCCAGGGTCTCCAGGAAACCTCCCCCGCCCATGCCACCTGCTTTTCACTCCAAACTGTGTGGCTGCGAGTGTTCTCCAAGCTGTTTTCAGGTCTCATCCCATAACCATGTTCAGTCATTTGTGGACATCAGATTTTTTAAACAATAGGGTCTCACTATGTTGCCCAGGGTGATCTCCAACTTGCCCGAGCTCAAGGGATCTTCTTGCCTCAGCCCTCCAAGTAGCTGGGATTACAGTGTGTGCCACATGTCCAGTTAGACCTTGGGCTTTGAAAATCTTAAACCCTGGCAGGGAGTGGTAGTGCATTCCAGTAATCCCAGCCATTCTGGAGGCAGAGATAAAGAACTGCTTCAAGTTTGAAGTCAGCCTGGTCAATATAGTAAATTCAAGCCCAGCCTGAATGACAAAGCATTACTATCAAAAAACCAAAACCAAAACCAGATCTTAAACCCTGAACTGACGGTTGACCAGCTCCAGCAAGTTTCCAGAGTCACATCTGTCCATATAGTTTTAGAGACTGGCTGCCTAGGCCCCATCTAGTCACACCCACCAGGCCTGCAGTTTCTTGAGGAAGCCAGTCTCACCCAGGGCCAGGAGGGCAGTGAGGAGGACTAAGGGCAGGGAGTGCAGTTGTGGCCCCCTCTTCTTCTATGGCTTGGAGGTGCCTGATCCTTCTGAGCTCAGTGTTCTCAGGGAATGTGGACTCTCAGCACTCACAGAAGGCTGCCCACAGAGAAGTCCACTGTGCCCTGCTGAGGTGGTCCTCATCATCACCAGCCCCCTCTGGTCTCACAGCCCCAGGACAGGAAGGGCCAGTGGCACCCAGTGCAGTGACTGAGCCCTCCTGCCCCTTGGCCTTCAGGGTCTCACACGTGAGGCCAGAATGTGGCAAGAGCCCTGCACTGGCCACTGTGTCCCTGGCCAGTTGTGGGAAGCAGGGGATGGCGTTTGCTCTCTGCAGTAAGGAAAACAGGCCCCAGAAGGGAAGTGTGTGAGCTTAGAGTCAGCTGGAGGCCTAGACCTGGGGCTAGGTTGGGTCAGTGGGTCCAAAGCCTGGCCCTGGTTGCTATGGAGGGCAGAACAAAGGAAGCACCTGTTGTGCCTGTGGGGCCAAGGACTCAAGTTTCTAGGATTGGGCCATAGCCCTGGAACCATCAGTTGTCAGGGTCCTAGAAACCAAGGATCAGAGTGCTGGTACTTGGCCTGGCTGTTGATGTCATCCCACAGGTGTCTGAGGTCTCACCCTAACAGCAGAAAGCTGGGCAGAAGTCAGACCTCATTACCTCGCCCAAGGTTGGGCAGTGCAGGGCCCTGCTCCTAACCATAGCACCTCTGAGGCCAAGTATCCGAATTCTCTGAAAGCAGTTGCTGGAGCAAGGACCTCCCTGGAGTCCTTTCCTTGTTCCCCTCTAGGTGTGAGTCTGCCAGGGGCCTTGCCAAGACCCCCCCCCCCAACAGCTGGGAACGTGGTCCAGACGGGAAGCTTTTGCCTGTAGCACACAGCACTTGTGTGTGTTGAGGGGGTCCTGTGGTCACCGTCCCTCTCCCCTGCCCAGGGGAGTGGAGCTGAGGAAGAAGGCTGTGTTCTCTAAAGGGGCCTGGAGCCTGGCAGGTTTGTCTAGGCCTCCTCACAGCCCCCTGCTCGCAGCCTTGTACTTGGACAGCCCCAGCTCTGGGCTTGGAGACAAAGAGCCACTGTTGCAGAGGACCCATGAAAGGTCTCAGAGCCCGGGTCTGACCCCGCAAACTCACAGCCCCGGCGGCGCCTCTGCCCCCTCTAGCGGACCCGTGACGACGCCCTCCTGCAGTCCCGGGGTGGTGGGTCGGGTCGGCCCATCAGAGCACCTAGCTGTCGAGGCTGACGCGGCGCGGGCTCTCACCTGGTGCGGAGACGGTGCGTGCGGCGCGGTGCTCTCAGCTGGCGGCACTTTGCTGGGACGCGGGGTCTGGAGCGGAGCGGAGCGGGGCGGGCCGGGGGCGGGGCGAGCGGGCGGCCGGGCCTTAGAAGGCAGAAGAATGTGCGCAGGGGCGCGGCCGGGCGGCCCGGCCTTATTTGGCCTTGGTCTGCGGGCAGAGTGGGCGCGCTCCCGGGCGAGCCCCCGTTCTTGACTGCTCACTGCTGGGCAGCGAGGAGCGCCGGGGCCCTGGAGGCGGGAGGCCGAGCCGCGACCCCCGCCGGCCCGTTCCCAAGGCCGGGCTGCCGCTCCCCGCCGGAGGCAGGTGTCCTCCAGCCCCGCGTGGCCCGTCCCGGCCGAGGGGAGGGCGTGCCGCAGGCACCAGGGCCGGACACCCGCCCTAAGGTGCTCGTCGGCGGCGTCGAGGCCACCTGCCGCTCGCCCGGGGCGGGGCGGGGCGGGGCGGTGGGGCGCGCTGGCGTTGGTGCAGAGTGTCCGGCGGCCGGGCGACTTCCCGGGAAGTGACAGCCGCGCAGGGAGCCCTGTGTGGAGTTGCCAGATGGGAGTCAAGGTGCTGGGGGGAGCGGGAGGAGGGCGCAGGGGCTGGGAAGCTGCAGGGACTCATCCCATCGGCGGCTGCAAGCCGCTAGGCCGAGGGGCGAATGGCCTGCCCGAGGTGTGGGGCGCGCGTGAAGCTGGAGGCGCTGCCGGTTCAGGCTCTCAGGTGGAGAGGGGTGAGAAAGGGCGGGCTCGGGAGTTCGCGATGCAGCCAGTGGGGTTTGCGGATGAATCGGAATCAGCGTGAGACAGTGTACCGAGGTTGACCCCGCGGGCTTTTCAGATTTTAGATTTTTTTAAAAAGCGGGAATCGAAATCGGGACCTTGCGCTTGCGAGGCCTGATCCCAACGTTTTTAGTCGGAGCATACAAACTTGTAACTTTATTGTAAGTCAAATTATTTTACAGTAAAGTTTTTTTCAATTAATGTGTCCAAAACAAAACTTCTGATCGCTCCCAAACCCTACTCCCTACACGCCATACTCCCATTTTAAAAAGCTACAGCTCTCTTTGTATGCTCCACTTATCCATTTTTCAAATAATTATTATTTTGTTTTCTTGAGACACAGTCTGGTCTTGTAGTTCAGTCTGCTCTTGAAGTCAAGGTGATCTTCTTGCCTCAGCTTCCTAAGTGCTAGGATTACAGGCTTGCACCACCATACCCAGTACTTTAGGCCATTTTATTTTATTTTATTTTTGTCTTTTTCTTTTTCATCGGTACCAGGAATCGAACTCACTACCACACACTTGCAAGGCAGGCGCTTATGCCGCTGAGCTAAATCCCCAGCCGCTGGCCATTTTATTTTTTAATTTTTAATTTTTTTTTATATCGGGGATTAAAACTCACAACCTTGTGCTTACCAAGCAGGTGCTTATGCCGCTGAGCTATATCCCCAGCCACTCTTCAGGCTTTTTTTTTTTTTGTCTTTTTCTTTTTTTATCGGTACCTGGGATCGAACTCACGACTGCCTGCTTGCAAGGCAGGTGCTTATGTCGCTGAGCTAAATCCCCAGCCCCTTTAGGCCATTTTTAAAAATGAGTTTTTGGTGGTGTTGATATGTATGTATTTGGGGATGTACCAGGAATCAAACCCAGGACCTCATGCTTACTAGGCAGGTGCGGCACCATTGAGCTAAATCCCCGACTCCTTTATATATTTTGAATATTAATCCTTTATCAAATAATGGTTTACGAATACTTTTCCCATTTCATGAGTGTTTTTTAAAGAAAAAGTTAAATCAATGTAGTTTATGTACCATAATGATCATCTTTGAAATCTACAAGTAGTGTATCATAACTAGAATTCCAGAACACTTTTCTTGCCCCCAAAAGGAACCCTGTACACATTATCGTGCATGGAGATGTTTGCAGTGGTACTGTGCTTAATAGGCATAAGTGGAAATGAAAGGTGTTCCCCCTTTTCCCCCGTTCAGCCCCTGGCAGCCACCGGGCCCCTCTCATTTCCACTTACGCCTGCCGTGCGTAGCACTGCGGCAAACATTTACATGCACGTTTATGTGTGGATGTTATGTTTCTTACTTTCTCAGGGATATACCTAAGAATGGAACTGCTGGGTGCCTTAGCTTTTGGTTACTATGATAAATACTTGAGATAATTGAGATTTATTTTGACTCACAGTTTTAGAGGTTGCCAGGTGTGGTGGGCATGCCCATAATCCTAGCTACACAGGAGGATGAGGCAGAAGGATCACACATTCAAGGTAGCCTGGGCACTGTAAGAAGACCCTGTCTCAAAATACAGTAAAAAGCGCTGGGGATGTAACAGCACTGGAACATTTGCCAAATATGTGTGAGGCCTTGAGTTAAATGGCCCGTGCTGCGGGGGTGCTGGGTGTTCCAGGCCAGGACGTGGCGGCTCCTTTTTTCTGGGTTTCTCGCGGTGCGGTGCTCCATCATTTTAGGAGCAGAATAAACCCAGCTCGGGAGCTGAGTGAGGAGCAAGTGAGCAAAGGGGGTCCCTGGGTCCCTCAACCCTTCCCGGACTCACCTGCACAGCCCTGGGGCGCCCCCATCGGTGCTGCCTCTTACACCTTGTGCCTCGGGTGATGCCCCCCAGGAGCCAAGCCTTTGGCCTGGGCTTTTGGCGAAGCTCAGCACCAGACAGCGCTGTGCCTTGGGCTCCTGTGATTGACCTCCTGCAGCCCCTCATCGGTTCTCACTGGCGCTGTGTAAGGAGGGTTCCAGCTTCTCCACTTGCCACCAGCGCTTGTTGTCAGTGAGTCTAGCCGTCTACTGATGTGTGCAACGCTTTCTCTTTTCTTTCCAAAAGTGTCGCTCAGCGTTCAGGCCCCCTTGAACTTGCAGTCCGGTTTCACCGCTCCCGATTCTGGGTTTACAGGTGGGCTCACAGGTGTGTGCTACCAAACCCAGCTGTGGTTTTGCTTTGCCTTTACCAAATGAATAATGGTGTTGAAGGGCCTTGGACATTAGTGTATGTTCTTTAGAGAAACATTTATTTAGACTTTTTACTCATTTAAAACTTTTTTTTATTGTTGAGAGATTGTATATTTTGGATAATTTATATATATGATTTACAAATGCTTTCTTCCATTTTGTGGTTATCTTTTCTTTTTCTTTCATTTCTGTCTTTTTGTTTCTGGAAGAGGATCTCTGTAGTTCAGGCTGACTTTGATCGCTCATTGATCATCGCTCCTTACCCTCCGGAGAGCTGGGATCACAGACCTGTGCTGCCACATCTGACATTTCTTTTCTTTCCTTCCTTTGAGACAGAGTCTCATGTGGTTCAGGCTTTCCTTGGACTCACTGTGTAACCCTTACTGGCCTTGAATTCACAGTGATCCTCCTGCTTCAGCCTCCCCAGTGTTGGGGTTTTAGGCATGCACCACCATACTGGCTTCACGTTACTGATTTTGGAATCACAAATGTTTTCAACTGCAGTTTTTTTCTTTGATTGGTTTTAGTGACACATACAAGAAACTATTGCCTAGTTTAAGGTCTTGGAAATTTACTGTTTTATTCTAGGAAATTTATAGTTTCAGTTCTTTTTTTTCTGCATTTTGAAAAATATTATTGCTGCTTTTAAAAAATTTTTTTTTAAATGAAAAAAAAGAAAAAACCAAAAAGGGTACAAGTTATACAGAATTTCAAAAAAATAAACAGGAAATCACTAGTTAATAGATTACATATTGTCATTTTAGAAATAGTGGTTCAAGTTACAAAATTAAAGCATATAAAGTGGACATTCAAACAGTGAGACTGCAAACAGTTCTGTTCAATGATCCAACAAAACTCAGTAATATGGTTATCTATTTTGTACACTTAAATATACATGCAGTTATATCCTTTAGAGCACTTTCTTTTCCTTTCTTTTTTACAATGACAGTTACACATTTTGAGTTTTATTACTCCCACAGTTCTTATTACTTTTTTTTTGGAGAGAATAAAACCAAATGTGACATAACAAAACAGAGTCAGTCAAATCAAAAGGATGGGCATAGTACATAATGTAAAAACAGAATACAAAGGGGCTGGGGATTTAGCTCAGCGGCATAAGCGCCTGCCTTACAAGCAGGCAGTCGTGAGTTCGATCCCTGGTACCGATAAAAATGAAAAAGACAAAAAAAAACAAAAAACAAAAAACCCCCAGAATACAAGGTGATCAACAATGGTTACCATAATGCCTTTTGCTATCTTAAAAAGAATTGCCTATATCATCAGTTATAATAAAATTGAACAAAACAGTAAAGAACAAAACCAATAAAACCAAAATATTGGAGCTATTACAGGACTTCAAAAGAAGATAATAGTCAACCAGAATGGGCGTCATAATGAATCTTACTGTTTTCACAGTTGTTGCCTATACTTTCGAACTTGGTACTATCAAGGAGGATCCTTACAAGTTCAAGGCCAGCCTGGGCTACAAAGTGAGCCCAAGGCCAGCCTGAATTTCATAGTGAGACCCTGTCTCAAAAAGACAAAAAAAATTTTAAATGTATTTGTTGTATGCAGCATATTGTTGGATCTTCATCTTGATTCACTATGGCAGTCTATTTTTACTGGTGAATTGAGACCATTTACATTGATGGTTATAAGTAATATGTATCGACTTGTTTATCATGTTATTTTCTTGTTGTTTGTTCCTTTTTTCTTCCTCTAATTGCTTTCCTTGCCTGTTGGAGTTCATAGAGTTGTAATTCCATGCTATCTTTTTGTGTATTCTTTTTTTGTCTTTTTCGTTTTTATCGGTACCAGGGATCGAACTCACGACCACACACTTGCAAGGCAGGTGCTTATGCCGCTGAGCTAAATCCCCAGCCCTAAGCATCTTTTCTTTTTCTTTTTTTTTTTTTTTTAAAGTTTAATTCCTGGGTTATGCTTATACATTGTTTATGGCAAGTAGCTTTATTGCTAGTATTTTGAATACTGCGGAACTGAATAGTTTTCAGAGATGTCTTCCAGGTGTAGCTGGCTTCTGGAATTTGAGTCAGTTGTGAAATTCTAACTTTTCAGTTTATTGGGGATGAGAATTTCTGTCTCTTTGGCCTAGCCCCTGGTTTTTTAGCACAGGCTTGTTGTAATGTTTAT